ACCTTTTGTAAATAAAGCACTGGAGACATTATTTACCTGCCGCTCAGTGAAACCCAGCAGTCCCCATCACACATAGCAGCACTGGCCCTGTGCCTTTGCATTTGTGCCATGGAGGCAAGGTCCTGCATTACTTGCTACTGAGTTCTGCTGGCTGTCTGGGCTTGTGGTGAGCCCAAGCTCTCTTCTAGCTGGTGATGCATCTTCCAGTTAATGGGTCTCCATCTTTCTTTCCTCTCCCTGCCAAGCATGATGCTTGCAAACATTATCATTCACCCTTATTCTGGGTAGGCATAAATAACACAATGTGTCACCAAACTGTCACTTGAATTATAACCTTAAAAGTATGGGTGAAGCCGGGCGGTGGTGGCGCACGCCTTTAATCCCAGCACTCGGGAGGCAGAGCCAGGCGGATCTCTGTGAGTTCGAGGCCAGCCTGGTCTCCAAAGCGAGTTCCAGGAAAGGCGCAAAGCTACACAGAGAAACCCTGTCTCGAAAAACCAAAAAAAAAAAAAAAGTATGGGTGATGACCCTTTTCTGTAGAACTAAAGGCTGTGACTTTCCGGCCTCTACCTTCCCTCCCTCCCTCCCTCCCTTCCTCCCTCCTTCTCTCTCTCTCTTTCTTTTGTCTGTCTGACTGTCTGTCTTTCTCTCTGTCTCTTCTCTGTCTCTCTCTGTCTCTGTCTCTGTCTCTGTCACACACACACACACACACACACACACACACACACACACACACATACACACATTGTTATCCCCACAAGATAGAGTTTCTCACTGTCTTTCAGCTAGGCTGGATAACCAGCAATCTCCAGTGATTTTCTTGTCTCTGTCCTCTCCAGTGCATGGTTTAGCGTGATGTCCTCACGCTTGGTCAGTAGGCGCTCATAGCACTGAGCAATCTCCCCAGCACCACTTTACCTTTCTTGTTCTTCTAGTTAGTGTATGTTTAGTACTTTCATCCCAGGAGACTTCATACCATGGACACTTACACTTCTCCCTGCCTGTCAGCCCCTGGCAACTAATCTACTTTCTGTTTCTGTGCATTTACTCTTCTAGATGTCATATATAGATGAGAGATAAAGCATCATGGGACATTTTGTGGATGCTTTCTTTCACTTAGCATAATCTTTTCAGTTTTATCATGTTTCAGTATGTATTAAACCTCTCCCCTGCCAGATGTTATGGCAAATACATAGGATGATGAGGCAGAATCATGAGCTTGATGCCATCCCAAGGTACATGACAAAGTCATGCTTCAAAAGAGTAAAACAAAACAAAAATCAGAAAAACGTCATCCGGCTTTATGGTAGAAGAATATTCTACTAGATAGATGTTTCACATACTTTACACACTCATCAGTTTCTATTGTGAATGGTACCATGGTGAGCTGATAGTAAAGCTGTGTATGCTTTTGTGTGAGCACCTGTTCATTCTCTTTTGCATATGTCCAGGAGTGGAGTGGCTGGATAAATTTGGCAACTATGTATGTAGCTTTTTGAAGAACGGCCAAAATCTTTTGTTCAGAGTAGCTGCACCATTTTACATTCCTACCAGTAACAGTGAAAGCTCCAATTTCTTCACATTCTCACCAGTATTTGTTCTCTGCAATGTGATTGTAGTTGTCCTGGTGGGGTTCTGAGGGATTTCATTGTAGTTTTGATTTATGTTTCTTTAGCTACCAATGATGATGAGCACTTTTATTTTATTATTATTATTTGGTTTTTGAGACAGGGTCTCACTATGTAGCTCTGGCTGTCCTGAAACTCACTATGTAGACCAGGCTGGCCTTGAATTCATAGAGATCTGCCTGCCTCTGCTTCCCAAGTGCTGGGATTAAAGATATGTGCCATCATGTCTCGCTGTGGGATGGTCTGTATGTCAAATGTGTTGCTGATTGGTCAATGAATAAATCACTGATTGGTCAGTGGCCAGGCAGGAAGTATAGGCGGGACTAAGAGAGAGGAGAATTGAGAGAACAGGAAGCTGGGTGGGAGAGACACTGCCAGCCGCCATGATAAGCCGCATGTGTAGATGCCAGTAAGCCACGAGCCATGTGGCAAGGTATAGATTAATGGAAATGGATTAATTTAAGCTGTAAGAACAGTTAGCAAGAAGCCTGCCACGGCCATACAGTTGTAACCAATATAAGTCTCTGTGTTTACTTGATCGGGTTTGAGCGGCTTGGGACTGGAGGGTGAGAGAGATTTGTCCTGACTGTGGGCCAGGCAGGAAAACTCTAGCAACAATGTCTGGCAATGTTGAGCACTTTTCAATGTACTTATTACTCATTTGTATGTCCTTGGGGAAAAGTCTGACCAAATCCTTTGCTCATTTTTAACTAGATTGTCTTTTTCTTAAGTTGTAAAATATCTTCATATATATTCCAGGTATACCTTATCAGATATATGATTTTCAAAGCCCCCTTTTTTATGCTGAGTCTTAAACTCAGCTCCTCATGAATGTCAAGAAAGCATTCTGAGATCTTGTAACTTGTGACAGTGACCTTTGAAGTCCCTTTTTACTTTTGGTGACTCTCAGTTGATCTGCTGGTTTCTTCTTTCACTTGTGCTAGGAGTCTGTTGGAGGCCTTTCATGACTCATCCAAAAATATGAAGTGCTCACTAGAGAAGATAATTGTGTGTCATTCTTATGTTTGGCAGTTACGTAAAGCACTTATGATGTTTGAATCTTAGATGGTTTTTTAATAAAAAAAAAAAAAAATCCAGAGCCAGATATCAGGGTGAAAGCTGAAAGATCAGAGAAGCCGAACAGCCAGCCACTAGTTCTTACCTTTATGAAATCCTCAGCCTAAAGAGAGAAAGAGTTCTTGTCTCCTCACACCTTAGATACCTTTCTCTACCCAGACATCACTTCCTAGAATTAAAGGTGTGTGTGCTTCCTAGTGCTGGGATTAAAGGTATGTGCCACCACTGCCTGGCTCTGTTTCCGGTGTGGCCTTGAACTCACAGATTCAGAGGATCTGTGCCTCCCGAGTGATAGGATTAAGGGTGTGTGCCATCACTGCCTGACCTCTATGTATAATCTAGTGGCTGGCTCTGTCCTCTGATCCTCAGGCAAGTTTATTAAGGTACACAATATATCACCACACACTTACTTTGAAGCATTTGCTAATTATCTTTAAAGGAACTTAGAAATTAAGTACTTTAGGCTAATAAACCTATTTATGGGCACTTACCCTCAGGAAATAACTTTTGGAAGAAAAAATATCCTGTATGGGCAGTTGTTCCTGTACTGTGACCCCTAAGAGTAGGCAATTGAAGTTCATGTGACACTGAGCAGGATTCATTAGAGTTAAGTCCACTGCAGTACATTATTAGACTGTTAGTAGACATTTTAATTATGAAAGCCATACAATGAGAATATGTATGATAGTGTGAGGAAAAGAAAATATATATGTTTGTTATGATTGAAAATATGTATATTTAGACACAGAAGAGTATTGAATTATTACTAGGTAGTTTTATTTTCTTAAACTTCACATACTATTATTATCTTTGTAATTAAATTCAGTAAATTTGTTCCCGACATTGGTAAGTTGGTAGTGGAAATAGTGACAAGTGGTTAGCTCTGGATGTGTGTTTATCTTATCATAGCCTTTTTAATAGCCGTTACTTTATCACCAGGATCATCAGGCTAGATTTAGAAGCCAAAAAAATATAGTTTATTCTTTTCGTTTACTAAGAATTTGAATCAAGATGTTTAAATTTTCTCTACCTTTTTATCAAATCCAAACACTGATTCTAATTTTATTTTAATATTAGAATCACTATACTCATAGTCATTATAGCTTGAACATTTGCTAAAAAGAAAGTTAATGATGGTGATGTATATTTTTTTAAAGGCCAGAGTTTTAGAAAGAAAATGTAATACAGATATAAGCTAGGGGTCAGTAGGAAGAGAAAGCACTTGGGAACAAGAGAGTGCACACCAGAGACAGGAGTGTGGCTCCTCAAGAGGCAGCCTTGATGGCTAACTGTTAACAAACAGGGCAGGGTCGCAGGACAAAATCACCTTCTCAGGGTGTCTCATGAAGTAGCCACACAGTTATTTTACATATAAGTAAATCCCTCAGTTCAATTTCAAGCAGATCAAAGATTCAATAGTAGTTTGTTTTTGTTTTTGTTTTTTTTTTAAGAACAAAAAAAGCCCAGCCTGATCTACAAAGTGAGTTTCAGGACAGCCAAGGCTACACAGAGAATTCCTGTCTTGGAAAACCAAACCAAACAACCAAACAAAGAACACAAGAAATAAAAATGAAAAAATACAAAAGAAATAAAAATGAAAAATACAAAACAAGGAAATACATGCTTGTGAGTAGTTACATGAATCCAAGATGAGGCCTCACTTTGAGTTGCTCCACCCAAACTGAGTATGTGGATGTCCTAACCTTCTGATCCTTGGCTTCACCTAAGTGACCGTGTCCTAGGAACATGGAGGGACTACAACTTTGGTTGGGAATACAGGTGGTAGGCCAACAGGAAAGGCCAGGCCTGACTAAAATGGACTTTGTCTCTGGGCCTGGTTTGAAGGAGACAGAGGCATTTTCATGTTCTTATATGTGGGAGGACTGTGAAAAGAAAACACTTGTTGGCTCAAATGTTTAAACAGGAATTACACTGGGTCTTTTGTTCTCAGTCCAAAATGGTCAGAAGTAATTTTTAGGTCCAAAGAGGGTGGCTTTCCTTTCCTCCCTCTTTCTTTTTCATAAGCTGAGTTACTGAATACAAAGATAAGGGGGTAAAAGAAACAAAAAGAAACTGTATAATTTAAGCTTATCAAATGGTACAGAACATCCCAGCTCATTCTTAGCACAGCTACCAGGGAGCTCCTGCCTTAGAACTCACAGCTAAGAAGCACATGAGCTTCTTGTGAAAAGACCTACAAGACAGAAAACCAGCAGTGGGTATGTGACTGGTGACCTAGAAACACAGATTCGGAGACTGCAAGATCTTCATCATACTTTTTCTCTTTCTCCTCAGGCTTAACAAGGAAAAGTGGCTTTCTGCAAATGACTGATAAAGCCACCCTTAGAAGCACTTCTCAGGCCCTCATGGAGTAGCTGAAATTTGTCCTGCAAGGCCCTCTTGCCTGCTGATCACCCAGAGTGATTGTCACCATGGCCAGCAAGAGGAAGTCCACCACCCCATGCATGATTCCGGTTAAGACTGTGGTGCTGCAGGGTGCCAGCACAGAGGCTCAGCCTGTGGCAACTTTGCCTGAAGGTCCCCAGCAGGATCTTCCCTCAGAAGCACCTGATGCCAGCAGCGAGGCAACCCCAAACTCCAACAGCACTGAGGGCTCTGCCCTGGCAAACGGGCACCGGAGCGCTTTGGATGGCTATGTGTATTCCTGTAAAGACTGTGATTTCAGGTCCCAGGACGTGACTCAGTTTGTAGGGCATATGAACTCAGAGCACATAGACTTTAATAAAAACCCAAATTTTGTATGTACAGGGTGCAGTTTCCTGGCAAAAACCCCTGAGGGGCTTTCCCTGCACAATGCCAAGTGTCACTCAGGGGAAGCCAGCTTTTTGTGGAATGTGACCAAGCCAGACAATCATGTAGTGGTAGAACAGAATGTCCCTGAGAATACTAGCATGTCTGACCTAGCAGGTGAATCTGCCACTGAAGGGACTGATGGACAGGCTGAAATCATTATTACCAAGACACCAATCATGAAGATAATGAAAGGCAAAGGCGAGGCCAAGAAAATCCATATGCTTAAAGAAAATGCTCCCAATCAGCCTGTGGGTGAGGCTTTGCCAAAGCCATTGGCTGGGGAGGCAGAGGTTAAAGAGGGGGACCACACTTTCGCCAATGGGGCAGCTCCAGTCAGTCAGGCATCTGCTAGCACCTCAAAGCCCCCTCATGCAGCCAATGGGCCCTTGATAGGAACAGTGCCAGTACTGCCAGCTGGTATAGCACAGTTCCTCTCCCTCCAGCAGCAGCCCCCAGTGCATGCCCAGCACCATACCCACCAGCCCCTGCCCACATCCAAGGCCCTTCCAAAAGTCATGATCCCCCTGAGCAGCATCCCAACATACAATGCAGCTATGGACTCCAACAGCTTTCTGAAAAACTCCTTCCACAAATTCCCCTACCCAAGCAAAGCTGAGCTCTGCTATTTGACTGTGGTGACCAAGTATCCAGAAGAACAGCTTAAGATCTGGTTCACAGCCCAGAGGCTGAAGCAGGGAATCAGCTGGTCTCCTGAGGAGATTGAAGATGCCCGGAAAAAGATGTTCAATACAGTCATCCAATCTGTGCCTCAGCCCACCATCACAGTTCTAAACACGCCCCTTGTTGCCAGTACCGGCAATGTACAGCATCTCATCCAGGCCGCTCTCCCAGGCCATGTTGTGGGACAGCCAGAGGGCACAGCAGGGGGCCTCCTGGTCACTCAGCCATTGATGGCCAACGGGTTACAAGCGTCAAGCTCATCTCTCCCCCTGACAACTGCATCTGTTCCCAAGCCAACTGTGGCACCCATCAACACTGTGTGTTCAAATACAACATCAGCTGTGAAGGTAGTCAATGCAGCCCAGTCACTCCTCACAGCATGCCCCAGCATAACTTCCCAAGCCTTCCTTGACGCAAGCATCTACAAAAACAAGAAGTCTCATGAACAGCTGTCAGCCCTGAAAGGAAGCTTCTGTCGGAACCAGTTCCCTGGGCAGAGTGAAGTAGAGCACCTGACCAAAGTGACGGGCCTCAGTACCAGAGAGGTGCGGAAGTGGTTCAGTGACCGGCGGTACCACTGCCGGAACCTGAAGGGCTCCAGGGCCATGATGCCTGGAGAGCATGGCTCTGTTCTCATTGACTCTGTGCCAGAGGTGCCCTTTCCTCTGTCATCCAAAGTTCCGGAGGTGACCTGTATCCCAACAGCAACCTCACTAGCAAGCCACCCTGCCACAAAACGACAATCTTGGCACCAGACCCCAGACTTCACACCAACCAAATACAAAGAGAGAGCCCCAGAGCAGCTTCGAGTCCTGGAGAGCAGCTTTGCACAAAACCCGCTTCCCCCTGAGGAGGAGCTGGATCGCCTGCGAAGTGAAACCAAAATGACCCGAAGGGAAATCGATGGCTGGTTCTCAGAGAGACGGAAGAAGGTGAATGCTGAGGAGCCCAAGAAGGCTGATGGGCAGGTACCTCAGGAGGAGGAGGGTGCTGAGGAGGAGGGCGGAGATGAAGAGTTGGCCAGTGAGCCGAGGGTCCCTGGTGAAAGTGGCTCTCCTGAACTGTTTCTTAGCCATACCTTGGCAGAACGCAAGGTCAGCCCCATAAAAATCAACCTCAAGAACCTGCGGGTCACTGAAGCCAGCGGCAAGAGTGAGCTTCCAGGGCTGGGTGTCTGCGAGCCTGAGGAAGATGGTTTGAACAAGCTGGTAGAACAGCCACCGGGCAAAGTGAGCTACAAGAAGACGGCACAGCAGCGTCACTTGCTACGGCAGCTCTTTGTCCAGACACAGTGGCCAAGCAACCAGGACTATGACTCCATCATGGCCCAAACAGGGCTGCCCCGGCCAGAGGTGGTACGCTGGTTTGGAGACAGCAGGTACGCCCTGAAGAATGGCCAGCTCAAGTGGTACGAAGACTATAAGAGGGGCAACTTCCCACCAGGTCTGCTCGTCATTGCCCCTGGCAACCGAGAGCTGCTGCAAGACTATTACATGACACACAAGATGCTGTGTGAGGAAGATTTGCAGACCCTCTGTGACAAGACCCAAATGAGTGCCCAGCAGGTCAAGCAATGGTTTGCTGAGAAAATGGGTGAAGAGACCCGGGCTGTGGCAGATACAAGCAGTGAGGACAAGGGCCCTGGAACTGGAGAGTCTGTGGCAGTGCACAGAGTGCTGGGTGATGCCTATTCAGAGATGTCGGAGAACAGTGAATCATGGGAGCCAAGTGCTCCTGAGGCCAGCTCAGAGCTCTTTGACACTTCGAGTCCCCAGTCTGGACGTCAGCTTGGTAAGGGACTCATGGGATCCATGCATGGCCTTCCTCTGAATCTGAGGGAGGGTGCCGTCACAGTGGGTATGGGTGCAGGTTTTATTGTCTCTAAGGCTACCTGGCGACCAGACTAATTGCTGAGGAGTAAATTCCAGGGAACAACTAGCAATAGAAGTCATAGAAGTAAAAGGCTGAGAATTGGACTTTTGTTTTGGTTCCTGTGTTTATTTGTGGTAGTGGTTTTGGTTTAAATCCATGCAGGGAAGAGAACATAGTAAACTTAGAGGGACTCATGCTTTCCTAGCCATTTCTTAGTATTGATTAAGATATCATCTGAGTCACAAAAATCTCAGACACTATGTGGAAGACAGGGTTAGGAGTTCAGAGGAAATTTAACTCAAATTGACAAGCAGAAGAGATTCTTTAATGGTCTCATTTATTTGTGTGTGCCTGGTGCCCACAAAGGTCAGAAGAGGGCATCAGATCCCCTGGAACTGGGGTTACAGGCAGTTCTGACTTGCCATGTAGGTTCTGGGACTCAACCCTGGGTCTTTTGGAATAGCAGCAAGTGCTCTTAACCGATGATCCATCTCTTCAGCCTCACAGGGTGCTTTCTTCCCCTAATGAAAATCTTATCTTAGGTTTGTATTGTTTTTCCTGATGTGGAAGAAATGTTTTTCATTATGGAAAATCACCTCTGTTTTAAGAAATATGAAATCCAAAGTTTGAATTTTGCCCTTGGGTTTCTCTGGGTGGTGGTATTTTAGTATTTAGAAGTAACATTAGATTTTTTAAGACCACAGTTGTGAAGCCATCGACACATCACATCTTCAGGTTTGTTTTTCTGTGTTTTGGGGTTCCTGAGTTCCAGACTCTTCCTTCACTGTCCCTTTGCATTTGTCTCCTGATGGAATGCCCCATCCCCGAACAGCTAGACCAAGGGAGCCTGGAGAGAAGAGTGTTGCAGAAGCTCAAGGCCTGGTCCTCCAAAATGGTAGCCTGGCCAGCTGGGCCAGGAAGGGGTAGAGGTGACCATAAAGTGTCTGTGGGATTGGACACTGTGCAGGTGTTCCCTGGAGACTGCTGCTTCTGTGGGAGGCCCTAACCCATCCCAGTGCTGCCCCTGAGATCCTGAGCGTTTCCTGGACAGTGGTGCACTGTGTGCATACAATGCCTGGACATTTTGTTTGCTTTGACCTAGTTCCCGTGCCCTATTTATTTCCTACTTAAGCCACAAAATTCTTACCCTTTCGCTGAATATTCTCCTTTATTTCAATATCTTTTTTGAAAGACTCTGCTGTTGCTTCACTTATTTAAGGAAAAGGAGATTTCTAAGTAATGGTTGTTGGGGGGAGGGTTGCCACCAGTGAGCACTTGGAGAAAGTGCTCGCTCTCTCTCTCTCTCTCTCTTCTCTCTCCTCTCTCTCTCTCTCCTCTCTCTCTCTCCTCCCTCCCTCCCTCCCCTCCCTCCCTCCCTCCCTCCCCTCCCTCCCCTCCCTCTCTCTCTCCTCTCTCTCTCTCTCTCTCTCTCTCTCCTCTCTCTCCTCCTCTCTCTGTGTGTGTGTATGTATATGTACAGGTAATGTGTCTGTGTTTGCTCATGCATGCGTGCCTGTGAAAGGCCAGAGGTCAACCCCGGATCTTTTCTCAGGAGGCATGTAGCTTGTTTTCCAGACAAGTTCTCTCCTGGGACTTGGGGCTTGACCATTAGGCTAGTGGGCCATCAAACTCCAGGGGTCCACCTGTTTCCACCTCCCCAGCAGTGGAATTGTAAGTGTGTACATCACACCTGGCTTTTGTTCATAAATTCTAGGGACCAAACTGGGGCTTTCATGCTTCGGAGGCAAGTGCTTTACTGAGTCGTCAACCCAGAAAACTTGCTGTTTCACACGCCTACTAAGGTAGAACTCAGCTTTGCAAAGCAAACAGGGAGTAAATATCTGGTGGACCCAAGTCACTGCTCAGCACTGGTTTCTTGATTATGATATCAAAAGCATTGGCAACAAAAAATAAATAAGTTGGGCTACATCAATATTTAAAGGACTTTGAGCTAGGCATGGTGGTGCACACCTCTAAATCAGCATTTAGGAAACAGAAATGGTTATGAGTTCCAGGCCAGCCTGGGATACATAGCAAGACCCTATCTCAAAACAGCAAAACAAAGTTTAAGAAGATTTTCAAATCTTTTTAAAGCTTTGGTGGCACATTCCTGTAATCTCACCATTACAGAAGCTGAAGTAGGAGAACTGAAAGTTTGAAGCCAGTCTGGTCAACATAATGAGGCCCTGTCTCAAAAGGAAATAAAATAAAAAGCTTTTGTGCATTAAATGGTAGCCTCTAGCACAGCATTTTTTAACCTGTGGGTCATGAACCCTTTGGGAGTCACATACCAGCTATCCTGCATATCATATATTTACATTACAATTTATAACAGTAACAAAATTATAAATATGAAGTAGCAACGAAAGAATTTTATGGTTGGGGGTCACCACAACATGAGCTGTATTAAAGGGTCCCAGCATTAGGAAGGTTGAGAACCACTGAGCTGGAGAGTGAAAAGGCAACTGACAGATGAGTGAAGACACCTAAAGATCATGCATCTAATAAAGAATTAATATGCAGAACACATAGAAGTACAATTCAACAACAAGCCATTAAAAATGGGTAAATTTATTGAAATAGATATTTCTCTTAAGGAGAGACCTACAAGCTCATGAAAAGATGGGCAACATCTTATGCTAGAGAGATGCCTCAGTGGTTAAGAGCACTGGCTACTCTTAAAGAGGACCTGGGTTCAGATTCCAGCACCCACATAGCAGCTCACAACCACTTTTAATTCCAGTCTCAGGAGATCCAGTGCTCTCTTCTGGTCTCCATGGGGACCAAGCACCACATGTAGTACACAGACATAGATGCAGGCAAAACACCCCATAGACATAAAAGTAATTTTTAAAAGACAAAAAAATGTTTAAAAAGGTGACTAAGATGTTTAGTTTTTAAGGAAATGCATATGAAACCTAGAGTGAGATTCCAGCTCACACTTAAATATGCTATTTGCTAACATGTACACAAACAGAAAATCACAGGCATTGGTGAGGATGTGGGGAAATTGGCTTATAGTATATTGCTATGAATAGAAAGTGATTAAACCTTGGGAAACTCTTCAGTAAATCTCAAGAAGCTGAATAGAGGCTTCTCATCCAACCCAGAAAAGAGGGCCTGAGCTGACACTGTGCACGAATGTTCAAAGCAGCAATATTCACAAGTTCCAAAAGAAGAAAACAACCTGTGCCCATTGCCACAGGAATGGATAAACAAATGTGCTATAAACATTCAATGGAATATTATTCAACTATAAAAAAGGAATAAAATGCCGATACATAGCACAACATGGATGCAACTTGAAAACATGCCAAGTGAAATAAACCAGTCACAAAAGACAAATATTGTATAATTCTATTATATGCAGTCTTTAGCCAAATTTATGAAAATTGAAGGTAGAATGTAGGCTACTTCTGAGAGAAGAATTGGTAGTTATTATATAATGGACATAGACCTTCTATTTATGGTGCTGAAAACTCTCTGGAAACAGGGTGGTGGTTCATAACAGAAATGTACATAGTATTGAGTCCTGTGTTTAGTATGGCTGTAATGAGAAATTTAGTGTTAGGTGTATTGTACCAAGATTTTTTTTAGCTGGAGAGGGGATGAGTGGGTAGAAATAACGAGCATGGCAGAACAGAGCAGAGGCGGCAGGGGTAGCCATGCTCTTGTGGTAGCATTGCCTCCACAAGCACCCTGGCTGCTGCTTCTCCCCTGTCAGCCTCAGGGGATCTGTACCTATGAGGTGAGACTCCTGATATGCTGCCCTGACCTTTATAAATGAAGGCATGAGGAGGGGGTACAGTAGCTGCCACGATGCCAGAACTCAGGGCTCTTATGGGCCAGGAGGCAGGACTAGCTGCTGTGGGATGGTCTGTATGTCAAATGTGTTGCTGATTGGTCAATGAATAAATCACTGATTGGCAGTGGCCAGGCAGGAAGTATAGGCGGGACTAACAGAGAGAAAAATTGAGAGAACAGGAAACTGGAGGGGGAGACACTGCCAGCCGCCATCAGGACAAGGAAGATGTAAAGTACCGGTAAGCCACAAGCCACGTGGCAAGGTATAGATTAATAGAAATGGATTAATTTAAACTGTAAGAACAGTTAGCAAGAAGCCTGCCACGGCCATACAGTTTGTAACCAATATAAGTCTCTGTGTTTACTTGATCGGGTTTGAGCGGCTTGGGACTGGCGGGTGAGAGAGATTTGCCCTGACTGTGGGCCAGGCAGAAAAACTCTAGCAACAACTAGCTGTTAGAATACAGGGGTAGCAGGCATCAGGGGTCAGTGGATGCAGTGATGATGGGCTAGGTGAGTGCCAGGAAGCCAAGAAGTCTGAAGGCCTCGTCAGATTCAGTCAGCATCCTGTCCTTAACCCACACTCTGCTCTTTCGCCTTCTCTCAGACTGGAGGGGACAGTGGCATGGCATTACTTATGGAATTAAGGAATCCCCAACACCACTGATACCACCCAGGATAGTGAGGACTGGGCATCCCTGGGAAGTATACAAGCTGTAGCTGCCATAGAATGACAGGTATGTGTTTTCTCCTCAGAAACAGACTGAATTTGATCTGATTACTGTGAAGGACCGGCCAGTCTGGGATGCTGTCTACCATGTGGAAGGGCCAAACCTGCCATGCATCATCTTGATGGCCAGCTTTGCCAGGCGCCCAAGAGAGCCTCTGGAGGCCTCACTGAGCCCAGAACCTGCCGCCACCCTAACCACCTGATACTTCTAAGCAAGTAGCAAGGGGTTCTCATCAGCCCATCCTCCCACTATGCAGGACCTCTCCTTTGCCTCCCAGGGACAAGCAGTTCACATTGCATAGACATAGACCCGGAGTCAAGTTCTTAGCATATACAGCTGCCCATATACATTTAATAAAGCATCCAACTGCAGACATTCTCAATACATAGGAGCTGGGGTTAGCAAAGCAGTACAGCTCTGACAATGCCATGTCTGTTCTCGCGGAAGCTGAGACTACAAGGGCCCTCATCGTCTGCAGCAGCAGGAGTCACAGGTGTGCTCAGAACTGCTTCAGGCCCAGCCCCACTTGCCTTCTCAAGGGCACAGAGCTGTTGAAGAGCCCTCTGCATCACTGAGTGGAAGCAAGCCACATTTTGTGCCAGGCTTGCCTTTGTTCTGACTGACAGAGCCCACTGTTATCCTAATTCTGAACACAACCCAGCTATGAGATTACCACTGGATGCTTCCCACTTTCTTTAGTTAACCGTAATTCTGATTTTTCATGGAGCTTGAATCATGGACCAACTTCTCCATTATCAGATCAGCTAAAGAAACCATTGTTGGAAAGCCCAGTGTACTGACCTGTATGCTCCCTTCAGCCCTTCAATTCAGACTCCTTTAGAGCAAAAGGAAGGCAAGGTAGAGCCAGTTGCTGTGGCTTTGGCCACCATGGTGCTCTCAATGCCTCCTGCGGGTCAGAGAAAGTACACCGTGGCTGGTAGAAAGAGTGAGGCTGAAGAACTTGGGAGTTTTTCTTTATGACCTGCACTGGTCTTGAACACAAAGACCTGCGGGTAGGAGTCCCTGGCAGAATGCCCTTGCCACACACCAAGGACCTGACCAACTACTGGTTTCATGATCCAGAGGTGCTGGACATCACTGGATAGATTCCTGTGAGATGTTTTTAAAGTTTGAATTTTATATTCCCAACCTGGGAAACAAGAACTCTATTTGCTTTTGCCTAAGCCTTGTGTCCTTTGAATTAAAATCACAAGAAAAGGTGCCTTTGAAACAATGGACAACTTGCTTATGGAGCTGTACTAAATAGTAAAGCCTCAGTGTCTCCAAGGTTGGCCTCTCTGAGAGCAGTGGATAAAGCAGGGCAGGGGAGGGACAAAGATGACAAACAGGATGTGTCATTCATGACCCCACTTACCTCTTGGAAACTCCACAGGAGACCCACAGGCAGGGCAAGCATTTTGACCAAGAAGTAGTGGTCAGCTTGTAGGTGTCATCTTCGCTCCCCCTCACAGGGGTGGGAACAGTCTGAGGATGAGCATGGCGGCCTTTAGCCTTCTAGGAAAGAGGGCTTTCTTTGTAACCCAGAGCCCTGGAACCATTATAAGATGTTTCTCTTGCCTTTCCTGTCCCCATAGGGATGACCTCACATTTGTCTCAGATTGGGGGTTTTTGACTACTTGGCAAGTTTTACAGCCTATTTTTGTATCCTTTCTCTTTGGGGAGGGAAGTTATTTGGCCCCAAACTTTGAGGAATTGCAAAGAATGGTGAGTGACTGCTTTCCTTCAGAGAACAGACATCTGAAAGTTTTCCTTTAGTGTTTGTGTACATGCAGATTTACATATCCACATATACAGTACACATACTTATTTGATACTTATAAAAACATACATCTGATGTACACGTGAGCTTCATGTGAATACCCTAGGGGGAAGTAGCCTGTGTGTGAAGAGATGAAAGTACACTGGGCAGCTGGAGCAGCAAAGGAAGCCATCTACTGTCTAAGAAAGCGCCTGTGTCTCACCTGAGCCCAGATGCCTGCTGGCTTTACTTTTAGAGCCCTGCTGCACTAGCTGAATGGTAGACCCTATACAAGGTCTGAACAATTTACACGGAACAAGTTACTTGGTGGACACTATGCTGGACACAGATAGCAGCCTGGTCTTGGGCACTGGGCAGTCTTCTGGATGGGAAGTTGCAGTAATACTGGCCCCAGTACACCTTTCTCAGAGCTGGTAATGGCAAGACTGCCCAGGTAAGGAATCCAACAGACTAAATGGACCTTGTTTTGGACCTTCCTTGGCTTTGGGATGGGGGAGGGAAATTGTGGCTTGGACCTTATGTTTGACAGGTACTGAGGGAGGTGGTCATGGGGCAGGCACTTCAGGGAAGAGCTCTGGGTGCCAAGCATGAGTGCACTGACAGAGGAGTAGGCGTGTAAGTCGGCAGCTACCATGTCTATGGCTACTACGTGACAGATCACAGCTGTCTCGTCCAGTTGGAGGGTCAGTTCTGTGTGCCTTCAGCAGAAGGCTGGCTGAGGGCTGCAGAGGTAGGATGGAATGTGCCTCTCCTAACAAAGCTTGCTTTGTAAGATGAGTCTTGCCCCATCCTCTGCACTTACTTGGACTCACCGGAGGCAGTAAACTCTAAGTGTTCTTTGTTGCCTGTATTATGTTTGATTTTTTTTCCTACTTACATAGGGTTGTGAGTTCAGTTCTTAACCAGACCCCATTCTAACGGAAATCTGAACTTATACATAGGCTTTGCATATTACTTGTAATTTTTTGATCGTATTTTTCTTTTGAGAGTTGGGTGTGTCAGTTTCAGGAGGCCTTCTCTGGATGGCTTGCCAGCACTTTGAGGTCTACTAGTGACTGCTCTTGTACTTTTCTCTTGGCTGAGTGACAGCAGCTGTCAGGTGGATAAAATACCTTAGCCTGAGGCACCCTTCCCTCTGGAAGCAGAAGAAGAATTGGGTCAGACCCAGTAGATTTCTGCCTGTATCCTCCAATCTGTCCCCAGCTGGCCTTGAGTGGCTCCTACCAGGAAGCTTAGCAGCACTCTCTAGGCCCAGATGACTCTGAGTTTACGTATTCTGTCAGTAGCTAAGCCATACCTGTGCCCCTTCCTCCCTGTTGGCCCTAGGACACCTGTCACACAGCTGCCTCGTGTGGAGAATGAGAGGCAGCCTTTCTGGTTAGAGTCTTTTGTGTTTCCCCCAGGTGACTGTTGAGCTGTCCCTGCCTTGAGCCTTTTGTCTTCCCAGTCTCTGTATGGACCAAAATCCTCAGATTGGAACAGCTCAGTAAGTTCCACTGACAGCCAAGTGCATAAAGGCACTTTCTGGGAAACCAAGCAAAAAGGAATCCTAAAACAAAACTTGGAACTTACATTTTTCCTAAAGTCTCTTGCCCTTTACCTGCTGTTCCCCACAGAAGAATGTTGGTTCCATCCACTTTTGCAGATGAATTTGTATCACATTCATTTGCAAGGCTCAATTGTCTGCAGGAGTCTTCTAGATTAGCTCATCCTGGCCAAGGTTTGGCAGGCTGCCTGGTTTTCCTTACTCCAGACTGGAACCCCCACTTCAGCATTCCTGACTTAGCTTCCTGTTCTTTTTCTCAAAAGCACACTGCTCACTACCATCCTGTCCAGACCTTTAGGGGTGACTTCCATGTGTTCTAGCCCTGGAGCCCACAGGTCTTCTCTAAGCACAGACCTTCCTGAGTCTTCAGCCTTAATTATCCACACTGCAGTTTGTTCTGCCTTGGTTCAGTGGAGCAGGTAAATGACTGGGCTGTATACTCCAGGGTAATGAGACTGTTGGGGGTCTTCGGTGGAACGGCTGGGCTTGATATTGACTGAGTAATATGACAACTGATTATACTGCTTGCTGTTTCAGTCGCTAACTGGTTTATTAGCCAGAAATCCAAATGGAACTGAGTCCTCAGAATCCATTTCTGCTGGAGTCTGTGTTCCTAGTGCCTGGCCACTAAGGGTGGCTGCATGGAGTGGTAAGCCCAGGTGCACTGAGAGCCCGGAACCTGCACTTGGTTATGAAGTTCACAGAGTGTATGGTCTTAGGACTGAGAACCTGCTTTGGGGTCTGAATGCTTGTCAACACTAGCCAGCAATCCTAAGGACCTGGTCCTCCAGACTTGAAAAACAATACAGGTTTTTCTAGCTCAGGGTCTAGCAGGAGCACCTCTTCCCAAGTCCTCTGAAGTCTGGAGCAAGGGTGGAAAACCAGGGGTTGGGAACGAGACGCAGGCAGACCCGGGTTGCCAAAGGACAGAAGTGGGTGCCTGTTTCCTTTTCCAGTCTCTTGTTATGGTTTGCAGGGCTGAATGGATTCAGGGTAGTTCTACTCTGCTGTCTCTGCCCTCCTTGAGCTAGACCTTCTCTTACTCGGGCAGGAACCAGGCAGAGCAGAGGGAGAACAGCTATTTGGCAGGGACTGTTTGCTGCATGGTGTCTTCCTACTGTTTACAAGGGTGGGCGGATGGCAAGTTAGGACACCTGAGAGGGACCTGCACATTGACCTGCTGTCATTGCTTCTTTCAAGAGATTGGTGGACTGTGCACATTTATGGGCACCTGTGTGTTAACAGCTTTTCTTGGTCAATGCCTTTTGACATGTATTCCCTTCTATGGAAGGTGGATGCTGCTGCCGTACTCTGTACAACTGGAGTTGAAGGTAAAATGTCTATGATAATGCCTGCTCAGACACTGAAGATAGAAAGTTGCCAGTGCTTGGTCCTTTCCAAGCAAGTCCCAGAAGAGTCCCTGTCCATCTGGGGAAAGTCTATTACAATGTGGTCCCTGTTAACCTGCAGTTTGCGCTTAGAGATCTTGTCCTTAGCTCCTGCCCACACAGCTTGGTCTTATTCTTGTAGCTTCTTTGGCTCAGGTCAGGGCCCCATGTGAGGAGGTTGGCTGCAGTGAGAGCCAGCACCCATTCCTCAGCAGGGTTCCAGCATGAGTTGGGTTGCTCCTTGTGAAATGGGGTGGGCCGAGGGCAGCAGTGGTCACTAGGGCAGTGATCTCTCTCCCATGCTTCTGAGTGGCCTGCTTTGTTCAGCTTTGCCAGGGAGGTCAGACTGTGTCACAATGTTATTAAACAGAGAGAACAGGCCAACCTTTCTCTGGCCCCTGCTGACTATTGTTCTTTGAGTTGTCCTGACACAGCCCTTGGGGAAGTTGGGGAGGCTGCCAAGGGCCTGCAGAGCCCTTGCTGACAACGTTCTGGTTCCTGGTCCTCTGGCACTTGCTTTATGTTCTGATCTCAGTGTGGATGGCTTTATTCTCGGGGGCCAGACTGCTGAGAAGTGTGACTGGTGAATGACTTGCAGTCTGCCTTTGGTGTGCTTCCTGTCTCCCAGGAACAGCTGAAGTGACTATCCTGGTGCTAAGTGGGGGGCAGCTGTCCTGTTGAATGGCAGGAGGGTCACCTGCTACTGTGACCAGCTATGAGAGCAAACTGAGAAATAGCTTATTCTGTCACATAGGCCTTTGTGGAGTGGGAATTTTCTGTGGCCCTGGCTGGCCTGAAACTCACTTTGTAGACCAGGCTGGCCTCAGACTTAGACACTCTTCCTGCCTCTGCCGCCCAAGCACTGAGTTACAGGCAGGCATGGGCCACACCTGCTGGAGTGTGGGGATCCTTTACCCTGGGAAACATTTGAATAGAAAGACAGCCTTTGCCTTTGGTGTGGGCTGTGTCTGGTGGGAGGTGCGGGGCTGACCTCCTCGGGCTGAGTGTCCGGGCCTCTTAAGGTCCCCCATGGGGATGCTGCTATTTCTAAGATGCAAATTGCACATTTCCTAGATTTTGTATCTGCAGATTTGGATAAGGGATGGGATGAGGGACAAAACTGCTTATGTAGTTTGAGTGGGCCTCAGTGGTACTTCCAACCTTTTGACTGTTCCTAAATAAAAATGTACAGACATTTCTTATCTGCTGACTGTGTGTGTGTATGTGGTGGGGGAAATTAATAAAAAGCTAAAAACCCCTCTATTGGTTTATTTATTTTTGCAAACCTGACCTTAAAATCAACAGATGTTGGGGCTCCCCTCAGCGCCCAGGGAAAACATTCCAATTCGCTTGTCTTCTGCCTTACTGAGTTCACTCTGATGGCTTCCATGTGAAACAACTGTGGAATTTTAAAATTGTGCCGAGCCAACCAAGTCTGATCTTAGAGCCATAGGACACGGGCAAGCTTTCTTGTTCCTTTTTCTGATGAGAAGAGTTGCCAGTAGAACATGCTGTTCACTAAGGAGGGCTTGTCACTATGCAGGGAGACTCGGGAGCCTTCTAGAGGACCAGGATCAAACCCACACCTCCAAGACTCAAAGCAACTTAATTTTGTTGGGATGACCACAGTGGCCTATCACACATGGAAAAGGGGCTCCTAAAGTAAACCCACCTGGGACAGAACAAGCATCAGGGGCTGCTCTTTCCCAAGGCCAGCTTGGGTCCTAAAGGAGTTGCTTTGTGTTCGATCTAAAGGGCCAGGTCACTGGACTGACTAAACTAGTTAATACCATGGAGCTATCTCTTGAGTCCTTGGTGGGCAGATCCAGAACACACTGGGTGTGGAGATGGCAGCAGCAGCCAGCAGCAGGGAGCTAGCTGCACATGATTACTAGTAGGAACAGGCTGGCCCATGGCCATATATCCTCTGGGGAAGCCTCTAAGGGCCAGATCTATTTCATTAAAATAAAGGCAGGTCTGGGCTTGTTTTGGTCACTAAGTTTGGTAAAGTAACCTCACACTCATCACCCTTCCATAGCTCTGACTTGGTTAGAGATAATGGATAAGTTGAATGACACGTGGCTGTCAAGTCCCCGTCCTCAGCTGAAGTTTAAGGTGGGTCTGGCCCCAGTTCTTTTTGCTAAGGGCACAGCTACCTGGTAAATGAATTTTCTTAGTAAAGGCCACAAACTGTTTCTGCCTTCTGACCCCAGGGTTTTCTGTCTGTGGCAAGAGGCAGAATGGCCCTGAAGTTGTAAGCAATGCTCTCTTGGTAAGTGTTCACTAGTGATCCCTCTTTACTTGTTCCTGGCCTGATAGCCAAACACAAGGACACTTCTTTTGGCTTGTGTTCCTGGTACCACTGACTTCCTTTCCAACCCCACTCTTTTGGTTTCTTCTGCCAAAGCCAGTGGTTTTCAACCTGACCACTCATTTTCATGACCCAAGGAGCCTGTGAATATCCATACAAGGCTCCAGTATCAGTATTTCTCAGATGCACCTGTGTTTAAGCACTACATGGCTGAGGCTCTACAGGTCATAACCCACTAGATGGAAGGCAATGTTACACCCAAGCTGTTGAATGTAGGGACACACTGCATGCATCGGGCAAGATAGCCATGAGGTGCCAAGACATTAAGACCCAGGTCATTTCTCCTTCCCCAACATTTGTCCCCTTCGCTGGGTATTCTGGGTCAGTCAGCAGTAGTCAGGATCACCTAAAGGATTTAAGAGATGAAACTGGTCCTTAAGTCTGCTCATTGAGAGAAGGATCAAGACTCAACTGTAAAGGAAATGGGGAAATGGGATAAGGTGTAATGACAAGTGAACCACAGTGTGTGAAGCTGCGTAAGGAAGGCAGAGCTGAGCTGCTCCTGGAAGACTTGCTCAGGAAATGGAGCTATCAATTGAAAATTTAAGTGCTCAGCACCAAGCAAAGATGTCACACATCAACACTGAAGACCAGCAGACATGGCTCCTACCTTCTCCTGGGCCACAGACTCGAATGTGAACTCAGAGCTCCTGATGAATCCCACCCACTGTTTCCTGTGAGTGGGAGGATCCTTCCCTTCTGTGATAGGATAAGAAAACTTCACAGTTCCTCGTGTTGTGGGACCCCAACCATAAAATTATTCCTTGCTATTTCATAACTAATTTTGATACTGTTATTGTAATGTATCTGATATGCAACCTCAAAGGGGTCACGACCCACAGGTTAAGAACTACTGGTTTAGATGACCACTATAAACCAGCCAGCACTCAAGTACTTGGTGCTATGTGAGCCGAGTCAGCAGCTAGTTCAGCACGGGTACACACTGCTTCACTGTGCCATAGTTTTTGTCCTGCTCCAGCAAAGTGCTGCAGGAGAGCCTCGTGAAGAGCCAGGCCTTCCGCAGCATGGTGTGGGCACAGAAGCTGGCAGTTAGAGAGGCACGCAGTGTAGCAACGGGCAGCACATACCCAAACACTACTTTTTTGAAATAGGTTTCTGTGCAGTGGAGACTGAACTTGCTCCTGGGTGGGGTGAGCTTCAGCTATACCATTAGAAGATGAAGTGGCAGAGGTGGCCTCACATTTCAGAGCCACAGGGAAGAGCTGTGTGTCTTCAGAAGTCTCCAGGGATGCCATACCACACTTGCTTCTATTCCCAATCAATCACCATGCTTTCCTGAGTCTCCAAGAAACGAACGAGTTAGAAGAAAAGGACATGAGGATGATTTATTTGGCAGTCAGATCTTAAGAGGGCAGCAGAACTAGCAGATGGCCAACCCTGAGCCCAAATGTGGGCAGTGGGTTTGCGTGTGCTGAATGCTGGCTATGCTGAGGCACCTTTGCGCCCACGGGCCTGGACCCCAGCCTCTGTTCTCAGAGGTGAGGCTGCCTTCCCAACATTCCCATCTCCTTTGCATCTTTTTTACCGGCTACACAGAAGCTGCGTGTAGCAGCAGCTTCACTCGGTACCTACTGCCTGACTCCACCTACCTATTCTCCATTTCATTCCTAAGGGAAAGCATACTGAGTCTTCCTTGCCATAAAACAAAAAAGCTCACCAGGGTAGACATTGCTCTTCTCTCTTCCTGCACCCCCAATACAGCCACCCCACAGAGCGGCTGTTCCCAAAGGCTCTATGCTGAGGCTTTCCTTCCAGGGTGAGGGGCAAGACTGAATAACTTAGTTACATTACCACTGAGAAGAAGAAAAAATAATACTGCTATTTTTATCATGATCCCCTGTATCTTTCAGGCTGAGTGGCATCCCCAGCCATGGGCAGTGTGCCCTTGTGCTGTGTCTTCCTCCTCGGGCAGGGCAGAGCCTTCTCCTTAGGCCCTGCATTCTTCCGTCCTGGCTCCAGGGCCAAACTGCAGGGCATCTACTGTTTTCCCCCTGACCAGCTGTGGTTTTAAAGCTACAGGACAATGTAAACTTTGTTTCCCTAGCCCAGCAAGGCTCTTCCTCCTCTTCCACTCTCAGGAATGTCAGCAGCTCCTTGAAGCCGCCTATACCACCAACTGAGGCAACTTCTCTCTCCAAGGGGCTGCAGCCCTGGTCCTGGCCCAAGATGGAAGGACCCACCTCCACATTCAGGGCCAGATATGTGTGCTTAATGCGAGACACAGTACAGTTTTTTGCCTTCACCCAGAGCTGGGCATGGAGGCCCAAAACAATCCATCTCATTAATGGCTTGGTTGTGTCTAGCCTTCACCGCTGGAATCCAGGCTCCAGGCTGCGAGACCAGGAAGGCTTTACAGTGAGCCGCTCCCAGAGAACCTAGTTCATGGCATTCCACAAGGTGGGCAGCACCTGCTGCTCTCCAACAAGGTGGGGGCACGACTAGAGGCGGTTGTCTCCATTGACCCGAGTCCTTCTTGGGGCCCTGAACAGAAGTAAAGTGTCCTTACTGGCCTTGTTGCCAGACAGGACAACCCAAAGACACAATTACTGCTTTCCACAAAGGAGAAAACTGTCAAAGGACTGACCTAACACAGAGTGCTGTTCTTTCTGGCTCCAGCACCCCTCCTCCGAGTTCCCACACTGGCCAATTTCCCCTTCACCTCCCTCACCTTCGTTCCCGACTGTCAAAATGGTCTGCAAGATGCTCCTGGGAGATGCGGAAGTCTTCAAATGGCTGCTGGTATCGGGCTTCAAAGGAGCCTTCCCGGGCCCGGACATGGAACAGCTGGCTGGAGGCATCTGAGGTCCGTTCCCTCAGGGATGTACCACTGAAGGGACTGAGGTCACCGTTCTCCTGCTCAGTGAGGGGAAGTACTCAGAAGTTGAGGTCTCTTCTGCACCTCGGGGGTGTGGGGTGGGGGTAGGGTGGTTCTCTGCTCACTCTGCTGCGGTTACCTTAGCAGGGAAAACTTCGATCTTGATGAGCAGGGAGGCCAACTCCAGGTCTTCACTGTAGTTGTTCTTCAAAGGCACTGCTCTGTATCCTAGGAGAAAAGCCTGGCTCTCAGTTTACCTACCAGGTGTCAAGCAAGTGGCTCAGTTCCACCCAGACAGCAAGACCAAAGAACACCATGTCAAGGAAGATTCCTCACCTGTCTTCAGGCCTTTTACTGGGAAAGTAGCCTGAGCTAAGAAGTTCTGGTCACTAAACATGTCTTCCTCGTACACCACAAAGCGTAGAAAGGCAAACTCAGGGTTACTGATCTGGAAGTGGAAGGGCTTAGCCGGCCACACAGGGTTCAGTCCATTGTCCACTGTGGAAACAAGGGCAAAAGCTCCCGTCACACCAAGAGCTGGGATGACTGGTAGAGAGAGATTTTTGTCACCCCAAGAGAATGACTTGGTAATGGGGGAAGGCTGACTGACCTACAAACTCTGTCTTTTGCTTGGTGCTGTCGTACTCCGCTCCAGCCACCTCAATCTCCACAAAAGGACACACAATACCTCGGCCATTCTTCGGCAGATGCCTGGCCCCCAGGACCTGTGAGGCAGGTAGGCAAAGATGGGGTAATGACTGTTCTCCTGCTCCCAACATCCTCACAGCAGAGGCGTGGGGAGCAAATGTGCCGTGGAGGCAGGGTGCCCCCTGCTGGGCCCCGAAGGTGCTGTCCAGTAGGCCCATCACCGTTCCAATCCAGAGCAAGCTGTTGGCTCTAAAAAATCTGAGCTTTAGCCAAGTGGCGTGTGCATTTTGCACTCCATTTCATGTTAAGTGCATGTCTGTTCCAACGTGGGAATCTTTTCAATTGTTTCCCTTTAGGGGAAACATTCTGGGAAGTAGCAGTCATGTCATCTATGGCTCTGTAC